AGAAACATGACAAGAAAATTGCAGAAACATGCAGAAAAATGGAAGAAATATAGTTTTATACCACCGAAATTGCAGAAAAAATGAGCAGAAAAAGATACCAAAAAATGCAGAAACATGCAGAAACATGACAAGAAAAGTGTAGAAACATGCAGAGAAACGGAAGGAATATAGTTTTATACCACTAAAATTGCAGAAACATGCAGAAAAATGGAAGAAATATAGTTTTATACCACCGAAATTACAGAAAAAATGAGCAGAAAAAGATACCAAAAAATGCAGAAACATGACAAGAAAAGTGCAGAAACATGGAGAATCTGAGGAGAGTTGGAAGAGTTAGAGTTTTTGAAAATATTAGAGGAAGAACAAGAAAGGTCGTGAGATCACTGAGATGATGAGTTGTGGGGTGGGACATTAGGAGTTTGGGATTTTTTTGGCTTCTTGAAGATGGTGAGCCGAGAGAAGTAACCAATTAGGTAAAATTAGCTATTTATTAGGGATTTAGGTGAGATTGAGATTTGAAAATTAGGAAATAAAATATATAAATAATAAATTAAAAAACATTTACTTTTCAGATAGGTAAACGGGTCAAGCCCGTTAACCCGTTGGGTCAACCTGTTATTGACCCATTACCCGTCGGGTTCTGTTAACGGGTTATTAACGGGTCACGGGTCATGAACATCTGACCCTAACCCGTTTTAAACGGGTTGGTAACGGGCGGGTTAACGGGTTGGGTAAAAAATTGCCAGGTCTACTCAAAAGGGAACGTTATTTCTGACATTGTTATTAATGCGGTGACTGTTAACTCCAACGGTTCAAATGCAACCATTTAACCTTCTAACTCAATTTCTATAGCTCATAATTCGAGCTCTTCTCCTTTGGTCCAAGATGGGGACGTTAACGACACACCAACCCATCGTAATACCGGCCAGGCCAATCAAGTAACTATGGGTTCAATTATCACTTCACCTAGCTTTAATGGACCCAATGTTTCTTTGCAGGTCCGCACAAAGACTATAGCTGATAAAGCTACTGCTTCAGATAAGATTTCATTGTCACCATTTGTGGCACGTGGAAAGGCTTCCTCTTTTAAAAAATCTGGTTCCCAACATAAAATCTCACAAAATGGCCGGAATCATCCTCTCACGAAATCAACCCCTTCCACTGGAACTTCGGATCATGGATCCAATCACCTTCACCAAGCTAAGTCACTTGTGGGATGTATTGCTAATCAACAGGAACAATCAAGCAATCCCAATAGAGAAGGCGTTGTCATTAGTTCTCAACAAGAATCTGAAGTCGATTAAGGGATGGACATTGGAAACGATCCAGAACTGCTGGCTGAATCCCATTCTTACAATGAAAGGAGTAGATCCCACTCCTTTTCTTCCCCCACCAATGGAAGGGATTCCTCTACCTCTAGAACACCTGTCTCCAGACTCATGGATCCTTCGGAAGGCTGTTTGGTCATCACTGGCGGAGATAGTGAAATGGGACGATTGGTCAGAGTTGATAGCTCCCAAGCGATTCACGTTGCTGGTAGAACAACCTTACCTTTGTCTATTCAGGATGATAGGATGCATGAAGACAGTGCATTTGGTGGTCACAAAGGAGGAAGCGCAGAACTCTATGCTCTAGTACCAGCAAATTATGCTGCCTTACTACTTCCTAGGAGTCAATATGATGGTTCTGAGCAAGGAAGGTCAGCCGAAGTGGCTCCAGGATCTTGCCAGGTGGGTTATGACCACCTTCAGTAGACATACCTAAACCATGGAGATCATGTCATGGAACTGTCGCAGGGCGGCTAATCAAGAGTTTAAGCGGAATGCGATGGATATCATTAATCAGCATAATCCAGGTATCCTTGTTATTATGGAACGAAGTTGGTAGGAGAAAGAGCTAAAAAAGCTACTGAAGCTCTGAGATTTCCAAAAAATGTCATAGTCGACTCAGATGGCTTTGCTGGGGGTATTTGGCTAATGTGGGATGACACGAAGTACACTATAGACATTCTTAATGTAGGACCACAAGCCATCCATGCCAATGTCCTGGTAAAATCCCATCCTTCCTTTTCTAATTTTCATTGGTTTTTATCTGTTGTCTATGGTCGTCCTCAGTTTGAGATTAGGTTTCTCTTTTGGGAAAACTTAAAACAATTTTCCCAATCTATCAATGGTCCATGGGTAGTTATTGGGGACTTTAATGATGTTATTGCTCAGAATGAAAAATTTGGTGGCAATCCTATCCCCCAATATCATATTCGTGCCTACACTAAATGCATGAATTCCTGTGACTTACTAGATATTGGTTTTATTGGTTCGAAATTTACTTGGGTCAACAAAAGAGACAATCATCATCTCATTAGAGAGAGGCTTGATAAAGCCTGGGCTAATCCTGCTTGGAAGATCCTTTTTCCCGAGGCTACTCTGATTCATCTTCCTCGTGTTTATTCTGATCATTGCCCTATATTACTTTCACTTGAGCAATCGTTTCCCTGCTCAAACAAGAAGCCTTTTAGACTTGAGAAATTTTGGCTTGAACATGAGTCTTTTAAAGATCTTGTGGCCTAAAATTGGACTTCTCCTAATCTATCTATCTCTGATTGCTCCATTGCTTTTCAAAACAATGTTAAGCTCTGGAGTAGAGCTACTTTTGATAACCTTCATAAAAAGAAGAAGAAACTCATTGCGTGACTAGGAGGTATTCAACAAGCCCTTCAATCCAAGAACAGCTCCTTTCTCATAGATCTGGAAAAAACTCTTTCTAAAGAATATCAGGATATTCTCAAGTATGGGGAAGACATGTGGTTCATGAAATCTCAACTCCAATGGATCCAAAATGGTGACAGAAATAAAAATTTTTTTCATGTGTCTGCTTTGAAAGGCAGATCATACAATCGTATTTTAGGACTCAAAGATGATACTGGTTCTTGGATTATTGATGCTACTGTCATTGAAAGTATTATTACCTCATATTTTAAGAGTCTCTACAGGATTTCTCTTCTTAAATCCTCCCATACCTCTTATAGTAGTGTTCAAAGTGCCCCCTTTATTGATCCTTCTTATTGGCATGCATTGATTGACCTTCCCTCAGAGTTTGAGATTAAACATGCTCTTTTTGCTATGAAGCCTTTTAAGGCACCTGGTCCTGATGGACTACATTCAACTTTTTTTCAAAAATACTGGCTTATTCTTAAGGAAAAAATTTGTTTGGAGATTAGGGATATCTTTAACTCTGGCATTATACTTGAGTCTTGGAGCGCTAGCTTGATTACTCTCATCCCTAAAAACAATAAGCCTGACTCTGTTTCTCATTTTAGACCTATTGCCCTTTGCAACACCTCTTATAAGATTGTCACAAAAATTATTGTCTTCCGCCTTAAGAATCTTATTGGAGAATTGATTTCTCCAATGCAATCCAGCTTTATTCTTAGGCGTAATGGTATTGACAATGTCACCCTTCTCCAGGATTTTGTCTTTTCTTTTAAAACAAGAAAAGGGAGACAGGGTGCATGATTATTAAGTTGGACTCGGAGAAAGCATATGATCGCTTTGAGTGGAGTTTCATTAGGGAAACTCTTATATTCTTCAATTTTCCTCCTTTGTTGATCAAGGTTATTATGTTTTGTATTTCTTCAGCTTCTTTCTCTTGCGTTATTAATGGAAGTGTTACTGATTCCTTTAAACCTACTCGAGGTCTAAGGCAAGGGGACCCTCTCTCACCTTATCTGTTTATAGTTTGTTTGGAATATCTCTCTTTAAAGCTTCATCACAGTACTGATGTTGGCATTTGGAGAGGCTCTAAATTGGGCAAATCTAGTCCCTATTTCTCTCATTTATTTTTTGCAGATGATCTTATTCTCATTGGCAAAGCTACGATTTCCAATTCTTTATTTCTTAAGGGATTACTTGATTTCTTTTGTACTCGCTTAGGTTAGAACATCAATCAAGAGAAATCTAAAATCCTTTTCTCTGCAAATGTTAATCTTGATATCAGGCTTGCTATATGTCATACTCTTGGTTATATGGAAACTCCCTCTTTGGGAAAATATCTTGGCTTCCCTATTACCTCTAGGAGGATCGAAAAATCTGACTGTAATTTTATTGTTGACAAGGTCAGATCTAAACTTGCGAGGTGGAAAGCAAATATGCTCTCACTTGTTGGAAGAGTTACTTTCGTCACATCTGTCCTCTCTTCAATTCCTAATTACTATATGCAGGGTATGTTTTTTCCTGCATCTATTCATAAGGAGCTTGATACCATCTCTCGAAATTTCATTTGGGGTTCTACTTCAACCAAGAGGAAAGCCAATCTTATTTCCTGGGATAGGATTACTCAACCTAGGAAAGCTGGGGGCATTGGCATTAGAGCTAGCAGTGAAGTAAACCAAGCTGCCATGGCCAAACTTCACTGGAGGATGATTACTGAAGTTCAAAAACCTTGGGCCAAAGCATTCATATCCAAATATAAGATTGACCCTCCCTACCATAATTTTTCTCAATCATCCTCCCCCATTTGCAAAGACATCTCTAAAGGGAAAGATATTGTTGAAAAAGGCATCAGCTGGGTTCCACGTGATGGCTCCAAAATCAATTTCTGGCAGGATAGATGGATTCTAAAGGAATCTCTTTGTTCTGTTTTTTATGGCCCTTTTAGACCACATGATTTGGACATTACTGTGAAGGATCTTCTTTTTCCTGATGGTAAATGGAATTTTGATGCTGTTGCTTATCCTTTACCTCAGGACATCATCCAAAAAATTGTGGCCATTGCTTTTCAGAGGCATAGTGCTGAGCAAGACTCCTTTAGGTGGAATTCTTCGGCCAATGGCAAATTTTCCATGAAATCTGCATACTTTATGGCAAAAAATATTCAGTGGACACAGATGGAGGATTGGTCTTGGATCTGAAATGTTTGTACCATTCCCAAAATTAAATACTTTCTATGGCTTGTTATGCATGGTAGAATCCTCACCTTTGATACTCTTGCTCAATGGGATGTGGTTTCTGATAATAGGTGCCCTAGATGTAGAAATGGTCTTGAAACTCTTACTCATATTTTTAGGGAATGCCAGTATGCTGCCCTTTTTTGGAACTCTATTATTCCTCAATCCATTTCAACATACAATCAAAATCTTGATTTCAAGAGCTGGATTAAGGTCAATGTCGGTGTACATAATTCTCCTCCATCATCTTCCACTTGGCTTACTGTTTTTTCATATGCAGTTTGGTCCATCTGGTATTCTAGAAATTAGCTTGTGCATGATAACAAACATATCTCTATTTTCGATCTAAAATGTTTTACTCTGGATATATCATAGGAATTCATGGTTAAATATCCTTTTTGGTCCCTCTACTATAGGAAAAAGCCCTTTTTTGGTCCCTATACCGAAAAAATCCCCTTTTTGGTCCTTACT